CTATAGGAAGAAGGCAAGCCAGCAGAGGCAGTGTGAAGCTTTAGGCAATGTTCTGCTGGGAAACCTTGGGTCCTGCCATTCATGTGGATGTCACTTTGACACGTATCACCTACCTAAGCCTACCCCTTCATGGAAATGGTATTCCCTGATGGCAGTGACCTCTTTTAGGAGGATAATGCACCCTGCCACACTGCAAAAATGCTTTAAGAATGGTTTGAGGAACACAGCAATGAGCTTGAGGTGTTGACTTTGCCTCCAAATTCTTCAGATCTTAATCCAATCAAGCATCTGTGGGATGTGCTGGAAAAACAAGTCCAATCCATGGTGGGTTGCCCCACCTTGCTACTTACAGGATTTAAAGGATCTGCTACTGACAGCTTGGTGCCAGATACCACAGCATACCTTCATAGGTCTAGTAGAGTCCATGCCTCGACAGGTCAGTTCTGTTTTGATGGCAAAAGGGGGACCTACTTAATATTAGGCAGGTGATCATAAAGTTATGGCTGATCGGTGTATATCTACCACTAAAACCCATTGTATTCTCAAAATGAACAAATCCTTTCTTTCAGTTATGGCTAATACTTTATATTCTATAAAATTGCATGGTGGGTATATGTGCCTTCTATTTTGTATCTGCAGAAGGGAGAGTGACATATAAATCATGCATGTTATCATCATAACTGAATGTGTCAACGTGTGCTACAAACCATTACTATACTGGTTCAGTCCACCAGTTCCAAGACATTTATTACTATCATAATTGATGTCACTTTCATTGAATGTAACATTTTCCTTTACACTCTGTTCCCCACTATCATAAAATGAGTTATGACAATACTAGGTGGACGGGAGGATGTGTATTTCATATTTTTTTCAATAAACAGATTACAGGAAATTCACATCTCAAATAAGAATTAATTATAGCTTTATACAAAACCTGTAATTTATTAGCATCCATCTCTGAAAATAATTGAAACAAAACCATGGTTCAATATTTCTATCTCCTATAATTTTATCTGTCAGTTCCAGATAGCTGGATGCTGGGAACAAGAGGGTGCCTTACACCATGTGGCCATGTGCTTTAATCTGTCACCGTTTGTCAACAAAGTAAAATGTTGTTGTAGGGGTAAAGGTAATATATACTGTATATAACCGTGACTGGGATCCGTCGTGACCACCCCATCGTAGGTTGTACAAATGGCCAAATGGATTGAGAGCGCTACTACTGTGTAAACTTCACTCACGTTTCTGATGACACTGTGTCTCAGGGAGATCCTCTGCAATCGCTGTACACAGACGTGGTAATAGCCAGGGTGCAGGATGTGGTGAGAGTGGGGTGGGTGGATGAGTGCCTGGACAGATCTAGGCAGGCAATATGGTCAAGTGCTAGGAGGCTGTGTGGGCTCAGCTGGCCAGGCTGAGCCGCCGCAGCAGTGTGAAGTATGCACTAGGAGAATGTCAGCGGATCGGGTTGTTCCGGGGACCGCTTGCTGGTACTGAAATGACTTGGTGTTGTGAAGTCAGAGGGTGCTCAGAGCCGTCTATATGGGTAGTGCTCTGTGCGTTCGGTAGCTACGCGTTTCAAGGCCGCTGCCTCTTTGTCAAGCCTGGATACGTGGTGATATGAAATTCGTTCGTGTGGAAGAATTTCCATTGCAGCAAAATGACATTAAAAATGATATCTTTCTTTAAAATGTCTTTGCTGCAACGAAATTAACGAAACAGAAGCGAAAACCAAACGGCATTTCGTACAGACTCACCCGAATCCCGAAAGGAATTGACTTTTGGACCCGAATCCCGAAAAACTAAATAACGCAAAATCCAAATCAAAAGGAAACGAAACTAAACACATTTTTTGCTGGTGCACATGTCTAATGTAGACTGCTGTGTTTTAACAAGCAGGTGGTTAGTCATAATCCCTTATCATTTTCCTTGTTCTGGGTCCTTGTCTCAGAAAGCACATGCATACTCACACATACTGTATGTTTGTTTAACAACCATACAGTCTTTCACAGAGAGCACAAGAAATATAACCTGATACAGGTACTAAATCTTCCCCACTCTAACCAAAAGTAAAATAACGTTGTGCTGTAACAAATTCTGAAACAAAGTGCCTCACTTGTAACACTTAGGGCTCATTCATAGTAGGTAAGTGGAGCTACGATGATCAGCATAGATCAATGCAGGCTTCACACAAGGGCACAAAGAAAACAATTGTTATTTATGTGACCTGTTCACACCATAAGGCTACATCAAGGAGCGCTTTACAAAAATGCAGCATGTCTACATGTTTACACAGGGCAACACACTGCACTGCATGTTCACACATTGTGATGCGCTGTGGTGCATAGAGTTGAATGAAATGTCATTTTGTGACATTTAAAAAGTAAAAAAAAAGTATAAATGAAACAGTGTGGTGTGTTGTAGCAATGTATCACGCAGCTCTTCACAATGCCCACCAATGTGCACATGTTATTTTGTGAATAATGCTAGGCTGGTGTGAATGAGCTCTCACTTTTTCTAGGAGGCAATGAATATTTGTAGGTCTTAGCATTAAATTGTTAAAAGTATAAACTCTCTTCTGGCGTCACTCTTGCCCTTTTTTGCTGAATGTATTAGCCCGTGGCCACTCTACTCAGGTATAAGCGTGTAAAGACACCCAAACTGTCTTTAGAGGTCATAAATTTTAGCCAAATATGGCTAGACGGTTTTTCCTTTCTGGGTTGCTGTTAGACCTTAAGGAAGAACTACAGGCAGGGCTGGTGCTGTCACTAGGCAAACTAGGCAGCCGCCTAAGGCACAGCCTCGACACTCACCCCCACACAGTGCCCCCCCCCCATTTATTTCAAATTGCAACAGCCAATAGCAGGCTGGCTATCGCATCCATCCACTTAGCAGAGGAGTGAAACTGAGAGACGACTTTCTTTCTCAGGTCCACCCCTCTGTTCAGTGGGTGGGGTTTCAATAGCCAACCTGCTATTGGTTATTGCAAATTAAAATAGCTAATAGCACTCTGGCTATTGCTCCTGGCTGCTTACATCCACCAGTCACCTGCAGAAGCTAGGTGGCAGGAGAATTAGGCTGTGCGGGGGTGGGGATTGGGGTTTGCACCATGGTAGTGGGGCTGTAAGTATCTGGTCTTGCCTAGGGTGCAAAATAGTGTAGCACCGGCCCTGACTACAGGAATAATTGTTCTTAATCCATGCAGTGGAGCTACCCCCGCACTGCAAGGGTTACGTGTTTATTTTCGTATGGGGACAAAAATAAAAAAGTTCTAATCACCTGAAATTTGGAGCCAGCTGGCTGTTAGACCGGTCCCTGCAGCTTTTCTCCCCCTCTGCTCCACCTTTCTAGGGTCCTCATGTCTAATACAGTGTATAGAGTGTGAGGATGTCAAGGGACATTCTATTGCTGGAGTGAAGGAGGAGATAGGCAGAAGGGAGCAGTCTGACAGCCAGCCAGCTGTGAGGTTCATGGGAATATAACTTTTTTATTTTTGTCCCCAGACGAAAATGAGCACTTAACCCTTGCAGTGAGGGGGTAGCCCCACTGCAAGGGCTAACAACAATTCTGTTCTACTTTAAGGGCCCATTTACACTCATTTACACTGTTACAACTCACTAAAAGACATGTGTCCAGGTTCCTCATATTACAAATAGTGCTTGTACCCATCTCTGCACTGCAGTGCAGCGTGATTTGCGTTTTAGTGCATTAAAGGGCCAATGCAGTCAAATGCAACACATCAAATGAATGTGACATGCGTTTTTATGCATTTTGATGCCTTGGCAATATGGTTTAAAGAATTATGGGGAGAGTGGAATACACTCATCCCCATTATTAAAGCCGACATGTGACACATGCTGGGAACAAGAGGGTGCCTTACACCACGTGGCCATGTGCGACACAGCTGTCACATGTCGGCTCTATTGATCGAGAACTGAGCGATCGCATAACGCAGATCGCTCAGTTCCTGATCTTCTCCCCGCAGAGAGTAGTGACTGTCAGTCACCGCTCCCCGCAGGGATTCCCCCCTCCGCTCTCTTTTCTCCAGGGCTGACTGGAGGGACTGACTGGGGAGGGGGCTATTCCTAGGTACATCCTTAGGAATTGCTGAGGAGCCTCTGGAATTTTAGTTGCAAAATTCTGTGTTTTGCTCTTTCGTCGAATAGCCCCCCCAAATCCCACCTGAAAATGCCTTGGCCTCTGTAAAGAATGATCAGAGATGGGGCATTGCATTATGAAAGGGAGACCCTGTGCCCGTGCTTATGCTTCCATAAAACTGAAATTCTCCAATAACATTTGGAGGTTTCTCGGGAGCTCCTGAGGGCCACTGAGAAGAACTTTATGGTAATCGGGTGTCCCTACACTTTTCACCGCCGTCTGCGTGTGGTGGGCGGGTGGTGCTGGTGGCGCACGATACCTCCGGCTCTGTCCGGGGTTCCACCCAGCTCACTGACTTCACTGGTTGCCAGGAGCTGGGCAGGTCACAAGCCAGAGTATCCCACCCAGCTTCTGTCTACCAGTAATGTCAGTGAGCTGGATGGGATGCTGGACAGAGCTTAATAGGTTGCTAAGAGTTCTTTGCAACCTGGGACTGTCTGGCAGGAAAGGGGGTGGCACACCTCCTGCTTCCCCAACTGACACAATGAGATGCTGTCTGTGGCAACCACCTCAGACTACCCCATTATAGGGACCGCCCTGGATGGCAAACTACAGCGGCAGCATTTCCTTACATTAGAATGTTTTTTGCTATTGTTTTCTTTAATTGTCCAAATTCCTCCAGCTAAAAAAGTATTAACAGAAGTAGGGAGAAACCAGCAAAGATAAAACAACTCCCTCAGATGTAACAATAATAGAAGAAGCAGCATTAAAGGGTGCTCCAAAATGGTGTGATAACCGAAAACTGTTTCTTCTCTATTTCATGCAACAGAATCATTGGATTGCAACATTTTCAACACTCCTGTCTTTGACACTTATGTCTTCATAAACAAAACACTTACCTTGAGCTTGAAGAATGGCCGAGATGTCAAAGCCCTGGCTGATCCTCATAATTACAACTCCATATTCAAAATCAAAAGCATCGCTGTGAAAAAAACATGAAGGTTATTGTTTCACAACATACATACATTTTGTTTTCTCTAGTAGTTTTGTTATCCATATTTACAAAAATATCTTGTGAAGCTTTTACACTGTGAAAATGTCAAAGTAAGCTTTCCCCCATCAAAGGAAAGCAGAAAGCCAAGTGCTCCTGGCTCTAAATAAATGTATGGCATTGTTCTAGTAATCAATGTACACATTTTGCATGGTATGCATATTTCAATAATGAAAGTCCAATCGCACTACTTTTATTATAATGCAACATTTTTCTCGCCACACTTTTTAAAAGTATGCAATAAAATAAATTAAAAAACAACACATAGTTTATTTAAAACACACGCTGAAAGCTTATCTAAGATAGGGGTCTCATATTGACTTAAACACAAAAAGTGGGGTTGTCCCTTCATCTTAGTAGCTCCCTGCACATCAGAGCTCTACTTTTACATCAGAGTTTGCCTACTCACATCAGAGTTTGTTTGCCCTTTCACATCAGAGTCCCTCCTTCACATCATAATCTCCCTTTTACATCAGAATCCCCCTTTCACTTCTGAGAACCCCCTTCACATCAGAACACCTTTTTTATCAGAGTCCCCCCTTTCACATGAGAGTCCCCCCCTTTCACATGAGAGTCCCCCCCTTTCACATGAGAGTCCCCCCTTTCACATGAAAGTCCCCCCTTTCACATGAGAGTCCCCCCTTTCACTTCTGAGAACCCCCTTCACATTAGAACACCTTTTTTTTAATCAGAGTCCACCCTTTCACATCAGAATCCTCCTTTCACATGAGAGTCCCCCCTTTCACATGAGAGGGGGGAAGTTTATTAAGTGTTCTGGGGGCTTGGGAGGGAGGGGGGAGTTTATTATGTGTTCTGGGGGCTTGGCAGGGAGGGAGGAAGTTTATTATGTGTTCTGGGGGCTTGGGGGGGGGTTTATTATGTGGGGGGGGCTTGGAAGGGGGGTGAAGTGTATTATGTGTGTGTGGAGGGAGGGAGTGTATTATTATGTGTGAGGGGGATTTGGAAGGGGGGTGTATTATTATGTGTGCGGGGGGATTGGAATGGGGGGGAGTCCCCTATATTTCATGTGCGATTTAGGCATTCCTGTGTCACAAACTTGCGTTTTCATGCAGCAGGAATCCCTAATCTGGCATTTACATGCAGCAACTGTCACCCATTCAAGTTAATGATCAGGTGACAGCCGCTGCATGTACACGCCTGCATACCGCATGTAATTGTATGTGATATGATTACATGCAGTTACAAAAACAATCACTATCCCTGGGTACACAATTGTGTATCTAGGGATAGTGATTGATTCCTAAGTGCATGTAATCCTTTCACATATGATTACTTGCGGTGTGCAGGCGTTTATATGCAGCAGCTGTCACCTGATCATTAATTTGAATCGCTTGTAACATGTGCATACATTAAAACTGGTACCGTATATAGTAGCGGCCCCCACGGGACTAAAAAATTTGTCCAGTGGCCCCCGACTAAATTGAGTTTGAGAACCCTGTATTAGTGCATCATGAGTGTGGCCCATTGTTTGGTAAAAGAAGCCTTTGGATGAAACATTTTATTGCACAAAGTACTGACCACAACAAAACTGCTGTGTTATTTTTTTATTGCAGCAGAGCCCCAGTGGAACGGTATAGGCTGATGGATTTTTATTTCTAATATAAAAAGCACCTGTGAATGGCAAATAAACAATGCACATTGTAATGCATATGACAATATAAAGCTCCACAACTCAGTAATAAGTGTAGACCGGCTGAGATTAAAAAACAAATGTCTTGATTTGTGTATGCAGATTGTTCTGAATTATTCAGGCCAAACGCGGGTTTTGCCACTATAAAGGTTTTTTCTTGTATTTGTACGCTTTGTTTTATTATAGCGCAACTTTGTACCAAGTCCTCGTGAGAAACATACAAAATATCTATTATGGCAGCCTAAATGAAGTTCTGGACTTCTTTTACAAAGCGAAGCTGTGTTTACACAGCATGTGGTGTTTGACAACTTGCCTGTCATTATCACTGTCACAGTTGGGCTGCATTTTAAACACGGAATCTGAGAATTACGCTAACCCTATCTAGTGTTGATAAAGAGCTCCGACCAAAGGAAATGCATTATGCATTGTAAATGTAATTCTGGTGCAAGTGTTTGGTCTGTCATTTTTATGTTGAAGCTGTTGTGTTTTTGGCAAGATTCAATTCTACGGAGAGCAGGTGTTGGCATCACCTCGGCTCAGTGAGCAAGTGGAACAGTTGGCAATTAGATAGCGTCCTCAATGTAAATATTGATTTTTCTTCTTTTTTTTTTTTTTTAAACACAAACCTCGGTACACTGGCTATAACTTATGCAGGCAAAAACAAGTAATCTGGATCTAATGTAAAATAATGAAATGAATTGTATGCATATGCCTCCACTTGTTTCCTAAATGGAAACAAATGGCTATTGTGTGTGGTTCTGGCCTGCAACCAGCTAAGAGGAAACACTCACTGTATTAATCCCACATAGTTTGCCAGGTCCACAGCGCTGGCCTGTCTCCAGTCTTTCTTGAATCCCATCACAAGGGTATTTGGTTTCATTCTGCCCAAACCAGCCGCCTGTACACAAAAAAAAACCCCAAAATTATAAATCACTTCAAGCAAATATAGTACAGGTAATGTTTACAATGTCATAATCTACAGATCACAACAAACATACTGTATATGGCATTGTTCCAGTGATCAAGGTACACATTGTGCATGGTATGCACAATTCACTTAAGAGAGTCCAGTTGCACTGTTGCAATAGTTGCATTATAATACAATATGTCTTACTGCAGCGTTTCTTATCATTTTCTTACAGTCATGACGCCATTTAAATATATGCAACCCCCCCATAAATGTAAAAAAACAATGCATGTCCCCAATAAAACCCTTACCCATATCTAAGATAGAGGTCTCATATACATTTAAAAGGAGGACCCTATGCAAAAACACAAAAAAGTGGGGTTCCCCCTTACACATCAGTGTCACCCCTTCTGTACAAAGAAGGCTCTAACCAGTAATTTTGCATAGATCTTATGGTCTGAGTCCAGGAATTGGTACCTAAGGAATTAATGTAGCCAGCTGCAGCATTCCCCAGACAGTCCCAGCTGGGAGGAAGGAAAAGCTTAGATGATAGTTGTGAGTAGAAGTTACCAGTGGTAGATTTGAGGTTATCTGAGCAATGTAGTCTTATCAGCTTTGTTCCTATAAAGGTGCTTAAAACCTTAAAACATCAAGAAGTTACACCACAGTTTTAAGCATCAGGCCAGGAATAGTGCCAGTCAGCCTGCTCACCATGGTGCTGAGGGTGTTGATTGTGACAGTTTGGTGCAAAAGGATGGATGACTGATGAGCACAGGTAATATCTGAGATGCCACATAGATAGAAACATCACTGCATATGCTTTCTTAAACTCAGTAGCACTCTACCATAAATTAAAGAGTCACCCTAACTATTAACAAAAATGTATCTTCTTTGTGTATCACTCAGTTGTAGATCCTCAAATCATCTCTGAATTGGTGCTGACACTGTCCTTCCTTCTGGAGGGTGGACACTTTTGTTCCCCATGTTCCCTGTGTATGTTGTAAAGTGGCCACTGCTACAAGATCACTCCCATGATGGACCACAATCTCAATACAAATTAGTAAACTAAACGTGAGATTGTAGTCCATCACTAAAGCAAGCTTAAGGATGCACAAATAAGTAACATTTTTGTCAATAGTTAAGGTACTTGAATGCATTTTTAAGGTTTAACCCCTGTGTTTAGGGTCACTTTAACTATGCATGGAGCCTAAAGGACTGTCTGCCTGAGGGAAAAAGGTAACTAAGTAACGTCCACTGGTAAAGTGAAATGCCCTAATGCTATGGCCTGTAGTGTACCATTCCTGAATTTGGAAGCCTATGGGTTTTTTTTTATATGCATGGAGACATGAAAGAGTAGGGCAGGATGGAAACCAACCAGGAAGACTCTGCCTAGCAGCTGTTGAGTACTTTCTTGTGGTGTTGTAACCCTCACTCCTCCCGAAGCAGTTTTCCTAGAAAGGCTGCATTGGCTGCAATGATTCATCTATTTTACAAAAGGATACACCTAGGAAATTATGTAAATACTGGTAGTAAAGGGGTTTTATATCTTGTGGTGTTTTGTGGCGTTTGGTAGATGTTTTGGGGTTTTATATAATGATTTTGTCTGACTTTTTTTTCCTGACTTGAACTGTCAAACAAAGGCTCTGCCTTATGTGTCCACCCTTTCTGGCATTCCCAAGGATCACACTTTCTGGTACTCCCTAGGATCACCCTTTCTGCCACTTTCCAGGATCACCCTTTCTGACACTCTCTAGGATCACCCTTTCTCCCACTCTCCAGGATCACCCTTTCTGCCACTCTCCAGGATGACCCTTTCTGCCACTCCCCATGATCACCCTCTCTGGCACTTCCCTGGATCACAAAATTGTGTTGATTTACTAGAGGAGCATGGACTGTTCACAATGCAAAGTGTTTTTGTGTTCACTCTGAATACCCAAACATATGCAAGGTGCTGCCTCTCTGCTATTTTGAGCTGTCAAATACGGGATCGCAAATTGCGGTCCTCTATTTGCATGTAACGGCTTCATTCTTTCATTAATGAAAGGAAGAAGCTTTTACAAAAAGCTTAATTATTTCATTAATTAATGCCTCAATACTGAGACATTAATGAATGACTGTTAAATGCTGAGAATCAGCAAATACCGGCATTACAAAGCCTGATATAACTCGTCACGTACAGTGTACGTGGCCAGTCATATAGGCACAAAGTGACAAGATGTACACTGTACGTCTCCCGTCGCGAAGGGGTTAAAACAATGCTTACACATGATTGGCTCCTTGAGGTGAGCAGTTTCACCTTATTACTAAGATATGTGAACATATATTTTACATTAAAATGAACAGTCTGTACTCCATTAGTAAATCAACACCCAATTAGTGCATCATCATTGTGTAAGCTTTCCTTATACATTCGTAAGTGTGTTGACTGCAAATGTGGCTGTAAGTGTGCATGGTGAAATCTTTTAAAGAATGAGATGCTTATGTTAGGTCACCTGAGTGGTGTCAGGTGGTCTTAACTTTGGTGCATGATTCAAAATACAGGAATGGAGAACTTGGAGGTAGGTGCTATTCATACCACAGTCCTCCTTTTCACAGAACCGGTTCAGTGGCCCTCTCCTTTTCTGAACTTGACTGACCATTGAAAATCTAAGCACAGATGTGATAGTTGGGTGGCATTTTCAAATGTAAAGTGCAATGTTGTTTACTGCTGAATAACATGTACACTAAAATTACAGACACTGAATTACCCATATAAACTGACACCAACATAAACAAATAGACGCAAATGCTTTAAAAGGCTTTGCTGACTGCTTGCAGACTGGAACTTTAAACATCTGCAAATGACACACCGCACAGTACAAAAATGATAGGCTGTTTTATGAAAGGTCCACAAAAGTGTGCGTCTACACAGGGAAGGAGTAGTTTGTCTCTCCTTTTCTTTTTAAATGGTTAAATGGTTGCGGATGAATGAAAATTATGTCCTTGCAATTAAGAGGATTTGAATTTCAGCTGCCAAGCTGTCATTTCAATAGATCTGTAACTTACTATCTGCACAGCACATATTGCCTTCTAGGGGTTTTATTGTCACAGAAATGACAAGTTTGTTCCTGGTTGACTTTATAAGTGCGCAGCTGTGATATTTATGACAGAAATGAGTTGGGTTTCATTGATTTTTGTCATTCAAAGACTAAAAAAGCCATCATCATTTTGTGGGTGTTTTTTTGAGAAGGAACATGTGCAATATGCTTATTTTACTCTGCGTTTTCCAGTTGAAAAAATCATCTCTTTACAGTATTTCCACACAGTGTGTGCAGTTACAAAGACACTTATCAGTCTGTTACAGGGTTTATGTATGCAATAAAAGGAAAGTTGAAGTGCACCTATCACCTACACATATGGGAGACAGCTATTTTATGTTTTGACATGTCATTTTAAGAAAGTCTGAGAAATTATATATGCTCTGTATAAAAGGATAAACATATTTTCAAGGTTTTCCATAGGTGTCCAAGGCCAGATATTGTTCATCTGAAAAAGGAACAAAAGGTCCAAGCATTCTGGCCTCAGAGCTGCTTTAACAAAGTCTCAGGTCATCCAATTAGGGATACCACCAATGGAGGTGTTTAGCTACTTTACTTTTTAAGAAAACATGGTGCCCAATCATACCTGCTACTCACCTGTAGTTCAACGCTCTCAGTTCTATACAATGTTTTTTTACTTCTGTCTGATTTCCTTGTTAAGGTGGGTTACTGGCAGATCCACAGTGGTTGTAGACCACTGCTTATCAAAACCCGGCGGGAAACAAACCCAGTAGACACTTAGGGAGTGCCAAGAACCTATGAGGGTGCTCTGATCCCCGTAGATAAATAAAACAAGGAGTGGATGTAATGGAAAGGTCTTTGTAGCTGTAGCTTGTAAAGACCTGAGACTAGAGGTCTTTAGATCCTCTAAATGCAGAATTGTATGTACAGCATCAATAAGAGTCAAAATGGTCTCTGCTACCGTAGAGACCAGTTCTAGCAGTAATGGAAAGAAGGATCTTCATTGAAGTGGAAAACTGAAGAAAATTAAGTAAAAAGTGTAACTACAAAGTAGCTAAACTTTTCCCAGCAGATCTGAAATAAAGAAGTCCATCCTCCTAGGACACTAGCAATAAAATGAGGCATGTTGGTTGTAGGACAGGTTATCCTGGCCTGGCTTACATTTTTTTTGTTAGTATCCAATCCTCCCGTATTTGGCACTATAACCTGACAATAATTACTTCCTTGGTCTCACAATGGATGAGAAGAAAAATAATTCAATAGAATCTTCATTGCTTGGATTTCTGCTTTGTTCTGTGTGAGTGAACCATGGATCCTTAGCTAATTTGCACTATAGATAGCAATATTTCACATATTTTACAATCTATAATGGATCTATGTTTTTTTTAAAAATCTAACTAGAAAATCTATTCAATCTTCAGCATTGCCAATGTGTATGTAATTTCAGAATATGAATATGTTCTGGAATATGACACGATCAATTTACAATATTCCAAAAACAATACATATTAATCATGAAGCCCAGGAAATTAATTATTTCTCTACAACCTCTAGATAACAGCAGATTCATTAAAAATGACCCACAACTTATGTTTTATAATCAAGCAAAGTTTTTTACTGTATAAAAACTTCCAAATGTATTTGGCCATCATTAAAAATGTAATAGTGTATAAAACAGTCAAAAAATATGTCAGCCCTGGAGCTGTCCAGAGTTAGTAGCTAGCACAAGTACACACTGTTACAGTAGATTTTAATGATGGAAGAACATGTTCTGAAGTTTTTATGTTTGCAAGGACTTTTTCTTCATTACCAAAAGTTGTGGATCACTTGCAGTGACATGTTTATGCTATATGCAAGGCTCAGAGTTTCTACTGTCTTATCTGCTGAAGTTAGTTGAAAGTGATTTCTTTTAAGTTGCAATATGATATATTATTATTGCTTATTGACAATAACAAGATAACTGCTGTGTATGGAAGTCCAGGGAAGTCAAGTAATTGCTGTTCTGTAAAGAATAGGAGAGGGTCACGAAACTGTAATTCTTTATTTTGGGTATAAGACTCATGTTATTCATGGTAACAGTTTCTTTTTTACCAAAAGCCTAGATCTGGTTCAGAATTTCAGGCTTTATTTTTATTGAAACTGAAATGCCACCAACATGTGCATTTTGCTTTGGTGGTCCTGCCAGTCACTCTGAAACCTAGTGCCTAACACAGAGCAGGCATTTAGATTATCTTTCATTGTGCTAGCTGCTCTGAATTTTTGAAAGATTAAATCTGATTGTTTGCTCTGAATAACGGCGCCTTGCATATCATCGGTACTCCTTGTGCTGCCTTATAATCTAGGGGCTCTATGAGGAATGTTTGTGAAGTAGAATGTCTTCATTTGGCACAAAGTCTCACCTGCAGGAGTGTTCTTGCTCCATCTCTGAAAGTATCGGCAGCAACGCCAGCATAAAATGCTTTTCTCTTGCGTTTAGTTAACCATGTCTGCTTCTTGATCATCCCGCTGTTCATTTCTTTTACAGCCTGTTTGCGTGGTCCCTGCATAACACAGTAAAGGTTCAGCAGAATGAAACATTATCAAATGAAACTGGTATATTACAGCTCGACTCAATCTTTGGAAAATGTTTTCTGTGCTATAACCTGAAAATAAAATGCCTATATTTCTTTTTATTACCCACAATGAAGAGCAGAGACATAAGAGAGTTTGTATTACTAGCTTGGGATGAGTAAAATGTGAAGAAGAATTATAATGTAACGAGTATGTCAACGACCATACATTAACCAGTTAATTTCTGGTCGTTTGTTCAGCTTCTGTTTGAAGAGATGTGGTTGGTATTGGACAGCTGGAAAACCGATATTCATTTTAACAACTTTGAAGGTCCTATCTATATGAAAAATCTATTTTCAATAGTGATTACATTTGGCCATGTTTTATTTTCTGATTTAATGGCTTGGTATGAAATCCTTAAAGCATTCTTATCTACTGCTTGTTTGTTCAGACATGACTTTGATTGTGCTATAGAGCGCTGATTCCTGAACATGCCTGTCTGCTTATGACTGTGGGGAAATTTTGGATAACGTTGATGACACAAACATAACCATTCTTTTCCTGTCATACTCTTCTATTCTTTTTTTTTTTTTTAAGTGATCAGCCTTGAAATTGGGATTAACGTATATGTAAACCCAATCACAAAAATGTATTATAAGATTTATTATGCAAATGTGCTTTCAAAAGTAATTTCCAGTCATTTTAATCTGCAGCTTTCTTTAAAAATAATACATGTTGATCCTGCCATAAAGATCCTTGTGCAGGAGCTTCTTGTTATAGGGTGACAGGGCTCTGTCTCCCATTTGTGCTCCTATGTTGTAACCCTGCTGTACGAGCGTCCAATGGAGATAACAAGTGGCCGTTTTAAAACACATTACACAGACATGTACCACTGTTGTCACCATCAGAAAACCCCTCATAAGAATTGATGCGCATCCATGAACAGGAACTGGCTCTAAACAAGGGACAGTTAGGAGCTATGTGTATGTAATCTCAGGGGCGTCCCGAGGCTGGGTGACACCCGGGGCGGTAACCGAGTGTCACCCCGCCGAGACGTCAATGCCCATGCGCGTGATGTCACCACACGCGTGTGTGATGACGTCATCGTGCACGTGTGGCAGTATTCTGATGCCTGCCGGCGGCCATCTTGGCCCCTCCTCTCTCCTGATACTGTCGGGCGTTCGGTCCATGACAGACCCCCCGACTTTTCAGAGGGGGGTGGCACCAAAATGACTGTAAGTCATTTTGGTGTCCCCCCCAATGGTGTCCCCCGGGTGCGGGCGGCACCCCCCTTGTGACGCCACTGTGTAATCTGGAGACATGTAAGCCGGAACAAAATTCGGATTGTTCTTTCTTTAAGGTTTTCGGATCCGAACACCATTTCGTTTAGTTATTCAGATTCTGATCTTTTGGAATTTAGTTTTAGTTTTGGATGGGGTTTTCTGATTGGCCAGAAAACAGTCACGTATCCGATTTGGTTTAATTTTGAACAAAATTCGGATGATCGGAAATGTCATTTAAAGAATATTTGGATTCGTTTCCATTCGGCCTCATTGGAATTCGGACATTTGAATGCATCTAAATGTCCAAATTCAATAAATTTCTTCTGGATCTGCATTCGAAATGAAATGAAATTTACATGTCTAGTAATCTGTAAATCACTGCAGTCTTATCTAATAAACTAATACAATCAACTTAATGTTTTCAATTATAACCACTGACATAATGAAGCTGAGTTGAAGATGTTCACACACAAAAAAGTAAAGATTTGTTTCAATTATCAAATTTTGTACACATAAAATAAATAAACAAGAATTTGCGTTCCACATAATTGAAATTCTGAAGTGAATCTTAGCTCTTTTTTTTATGTGAACATTCTCAGCCCCTTTAAATTAGAAAATCAACCTCAACACATATATATATAGATTACACCTAGGAGCTGATGTAAAAACTTTCGGCCCAGTCTAAATTGGCACCATTGGCACCATTTAATGGCAGTAATGTCATATGAACAGCATTCGCCCAGCTTTGCACTCAGGTACGGTTTATACATCAGCCCCCTTGTGTATTCATATACATTAGTGTGCATGCATTTCAACTCTCACATCTGTATCCCATAATATTTTAGAAGATGTCTTCTGTTTAGAGAGATACTGGGGATGCCAAATTTCACAAAGCTTAGACCTCCCTACTCTTTTAGTGTTTAAATTAGTTATTTTTGGAAGTCATTCTGAAATATGGACAGGATGGAAGGAATATTACCTGCTGTAATCAGCAACAATGAATTCACCAAGTATTAAAGTGATCTTAAAAGACTTTACAAACTGGAGATGTAATTATTAAGTGGGTTTCCCTGCTGTGCATGTCTGTTGTTCCTAGGAAGTCTCACAATGCAGTAGTGAGGCTCTCTAACTAGTGCACAAGCTCCAACAACTGATCATATGAATTAGCATTTAGCACATGTACTAACTTATATAACTTTATCACACACATGCAGAAAATGAAACGTCTCACAGCAAGCATCCTGACAGCTCAGTCCTTCATCATTGTTCCATTAATTAAGGAGAAGGCTGGCACTGAGACATGGCACTCACTGCTCAGGCATGCTACAGGAAGCATGCACAGTACAGGAAGCATATCACTAACTAATAATCATGAAGAAGTGATCATGCTGGTGCTGTTCTATTGGTGATGGCAAGGGGCCTCCATTGGCACACGTCTAACCGCTAACATTCAGAGAATAAGGGAGCAAATATAAATCTTTGACAAGTAAACCTACATAATCAGAATAATAGAAAACTGTATATTTATATTCTTGCATAAGCCCAATTGTTACAAATCTCCTTACATCAAGACATCGTCATTTACAAGTGCCTAGGGCAGCATCAGTTAAGTTCTCTACTTACAGAAAACACTTCACAGCAAATACAGACTCCTATGTTTTTGGTGAAGGAATGCGTAATATCCAAAAGTGCTGGTCTTGTCATTGGTGCACCAGTTAAAACCAAGCACTGAGGTCTGCAAAGTCAAGTAGAGAAATTACACTTACATACTGGTTTATAATAATAGAGTAAGCCATTTAGTGATAAATTATGGGAAGTACCTGAAATTTTTCACATGCTCTTCTATGGTGTTTAATTCCAAGGCAGTGTTTAAAGCATTTGTGTAGTAAAGAGCCTGAGTTGAAGATCCCCAATTTACATCTGCATAGGGAAACAAGAAACTGTAAATTAAGTTCAATACTGATGGAAAATGAAAAGGGGATTGTCTAAAGACATTCAGCTGTTACATACATTGGTGTCCTTACACTAGTTGCCACCTAATGTGGGGGACATGTGTGTGATGGAAGCTGGCGCTGCAGGGTCGGAAGGAGATTTAGTGCTGCCAGCACTGTGCGGTCCGGGGGGTGTTGCTGGCACTGCACATTCGGGGGGGGGG